GTCGGAACGAAGTTACGGAAAGTTAATTAACCAACGGAGAGGTAACAGTATTCATTATGCTACCATCTTGGATTTGGTGTAATTTATTACATAATACTGGGTCATAATCTATTACCATTTTGTATTCATCATGTTATCTAATCTTTCTGGATACAGTGTGACTAGTGTGATATTGGTTAGAATCCTCTGTGTGTTTTTTTCTATTCCTGTTTTATCCAGGAAATATACACTGTTCCTGTTGTGGTGTCATATTTACACATTGCATTATATATAGAATTCAAGACTCTTCCTGACACCAATACATTCGTCTCTTTTGTATAATATATGAAAAGGATGGCATTTTAAAAGCTACTGTAGTTGTTTTTTTCTGAGAAAAGTAAAAGTTTGTAATAAAGCATTCTTATCCTAAAGTCATCTGTGTGTTTATAATTTTGAATAGAGGCATCACTAGAAGGACAAGCATGAAAAAGTTGATTATTAATTAAAACAGTATGTGATAAACTGATGGCACTTTATTAACAGTTACATGACTAGGCCTTATGTTCATAATTTTCTTATTATATTAAAATTATTACTTCCCTGGTATATTCAGTTTATTGTTATTGACAGGATAGAGTAATTTTGCTACTTTCAAGCTGTGTTTAAAAGATAGTCATATGGTACTACACAGGCAGTAAAACGCAGAGATGATAAATATGTTTGTACTTAGAAACAAGATACACTTTAAAGTTTTTACAACCTTAGAATGGTTTTAAGTATTAAAAATAAGTATGAAGCCCAATGTATTATTGGATTCACCATAAGTTATATAGTTTTTATGGAATTCCACCTATAATCAATAACCCTGGACAGGAGCAAATTGAAAGGCTTGTAATAGTGGGGGGTGTAAATTATATGTATGGTGTTTTGAGTTGTCTTTTACTTCCCACAGTGTAGCATTGCTAAAACTGTCGTCATATAATTTAATGGAAGGTGTGAAGTATTAGACCTATATCACTTAGTTTTATGTAATGTTTGTTTCATAAACACGTTTGTTTACTTTTATGCCAAATCAGTCATGATTTAAGTTATTTTCATAATAAAACGTTCTTATAAATTTTAAATTATTTCTAAATTATTTAGTTTGTAGTTCAATCTGAGAAACCTTTATGTTATAATTTTATTTTTAACCATAGTATCTGATCTGTAATAAGTTTTCTTATGAAATGGGGATTCTTTTAGTCACTGTAGGTGAATTGATAATAACACACTATTTTACCATTAGATTACATGTACATGACTAGTTGCTTTGATCACTCAATATAAATTCAAAAAATTGCTCAAAGATTATTCCTTATTACATTAAATAGCCTGTTATATGATACTTCTTTGAACTTGTCATCAGGTTAAAAGTAACCCAAATTTTTTATATTGTTTAGGGAGTGTATTAACAGAGTTTGTGAAGCTGCTGGTCTTAAAACAAGTGATAAGAAGAGAAAAGTAAGCTTGTGAAAAATTCTTTATTAAAAGAAAGTATATGTTTATAGTTACATGTTTGGATTTTATATGTAATAGTTTTTATGTAAAAGTGGTTGAAATATTTTTATGCAGGCTCTGAATAATTTTCAAAACCTTTTTTTTTCAAATTAAGTCGTAAAGGGTTTTCTTTACAATGTGAAACAAGATTTCCCATATTACTTAATTGGTGAATATGGTTTTGAAACCCTTGTATGGTAGAAGCCTAGTTCAAGAGAACTAGTTCTCATTTAACTCATCACTTTATAGTATAAGAAATTTAGCCAGAGACAAATTCATTCCAATGTTTGTTTTCTAGGTTAATCTTTAATCATTTGGGAAATATGAAAGAGTAATTTTTTGCTTCAATGTCTAACTAAAAAGCTACAAATTCAGTTTGTTGCACATTGTATATTATACAGTAGTTTTTTTTATTCTTTGATTTTACCTGTCATTAATATTAGGACCTATAATCATGGACAATTAACTACAAGAAAATGTACTGGAATTTCATTGGGATGTAACAGATCCACAAGGAATGATACAGTGAAATAATCAATGTAGACTTCTCTGTTAATGAAAGATACAACTTACTAGCTTGCTTGTTTCCAAAGCAAGTATATATATATATATATATATGACAGTCCTTGTCTTGTCCATTACATTGTCATGTCTATTAAAGATATACAGAATGCTGTTTGTGATTTAAAATCACTGCATTTGTCCTATGTAATGTGTTTTATTTATTAATGTGTTATGACCATTTTAGCTATGCAGTACATAAAACTTGCAGTATTGAAAGTAATGAGGAATAAGGATATAAAAAACAGCAACAAATACTACAGGAATGCCAGACATTATTGTGTGGAAATGAACATGAACTACATCAGAGTACAGGCATATGATGATAGTTTACACTGTGATTGGTTGTTTATATATTGTTTTATATTGTCCACAACAATATAAAACCTTTGTAAGCACAGGCAGTAATACAATTTCTAATAGCTGTAGTTTGCTCCCAGGACTGAAATGTCAAATATCATGGTTGTTCAAGGATCTTCAAAGTGAAAACTTGTTGGAAAGACTTCATGTTTCAGTAGGAGCTGTATATAATACTGAAGAAGGTACATGAAACTAGCACTGTTAGCAATAAAACTAGAAAAGGAAATGTATATGTGACTTGATCAGATATTACACTATCTGATGAATTCCGACCTAATTGCATAGTAATTTTGTGAAGAATAGGATAGCCAGATAGCATTTCCTTCAATGGATTATCTCACAATACAGGAATGATATTACTTGCATGTACATCACATGTAATAGGTATTTTATCATCAAGCCCTTTGGTGCTTTCTACTAACTTCTAAGCATACTCGTCTTTTCCCCAACATTAAAGAGCTGTAATACATATAGCTGTTATTTAGATTAAGTAAACATTATGTCTACACACTGTGTTGCCACTGTATGTCACAAGTTGTCACAACAGCAATGTTAAGCACAGTTAAAACAGCAGTCTCAGAAGGGGATCATGGGTGTAAAGCACTGTCTCACTCTGCCATACATCACATTCACTTAAAGTGCCTGTAATGACCACTCACTTATCCTGAAATATACATCCTTATTAACTTCTCAAAAACTATGGGGCTAAGCACAGCCAAGCAATTAACATCCTTGACTGTGGAAATGAAGTTCTGTGATACACACCCCATTACCATCGAAAAAAATATATCTTTCCATACTTTGGGGCTATGGGTGCATTATAAGAGTGACAGCCTAATCCCATTATTCAATTAAAGTAGCCTATGAGTTGACAGTGGGTAATGTTGACTAACTACCTTTTCTCTAGTCTATCATTTCAAAATTAGGAACAGTTAGTACACATAGCACTGAGTAGCTTTGCATGAGATTCAACAAATGAAAAACAATGATGAAGAAACTAGTTTAATACTGTACTATAATGAAGTGGTAATTCATACATTGTGTACATTTTCAAAACATAGGGACACATCTTCTATCTGATCTGAAAATATTTTAACCTAATTAGATATGTGACCAAAACTACTATTTGTCCCAACCCTAATGTGTTCTTTATGAAATAACAAGATGGTTGATTACAGATTTTGCTAACAATTGTGGTGTGAATGAAGATGTAAATGTTACCTGCAGAACAGTATTCACATTAGCACAAATCACAAATTGGTATTAATGGATGTTTACAACTATTAAAAAGCCACTGCTGACAAGTGATAACCAAAGACCAAGAAGTTGAAATGGGTATTGAACCATAAATAGTGGAATGGGTATACCTGGAAAGATGTGCTATTTACACATGAATCTAAGTATGGATTGTTTGGGAGCAACCAACAAGAAATACTATCATAGTTAATGTATAAATATATACAGTGAAACATATTTTGGATATGTCAGGGCTCTGTTTAAAAGACGGGTTTCAGTTTTTATCCAATAATTTGCCTTTTATGACTAGAAACTTTGTTGACAATTTTATTGATGTTATCATAGTCAGTATAAATACCTACAATGAAACAATGACGATAAGTCAGTGTTTTATTTAGAAGAGGTATCTTGGTTTTTTACCTAAAAACTTGCCTTTTATGACCTGATACACTGTTGCTGATTTTAATTTTATCTCAAATTAAATCTTTGTTAAATTACAGTTGTTTGAAAAACTATCAAATTTTGTGAAACACCTGAGAAAATCACAAACTTTTCAATAATACTAAACGTGTCTTGTCTACAAAACTTTGTTTACCTGATAGAATTTATTTATTACTTTGTCTCCTCTATATGTGCTATAGATACTATATTTAGCTGGGCATTCACTTTACTAAAAGTAAGTGAATTATTGTTACTCTTACTAATTATCAATCTGACAATGAACAGGGGACAGTACAATCACAACATTGTGGCTTCTTCAACCTCAATGCAATATTGCCTTAATACCAGAGTTTCTCTTGTAGCAAGCTTTTGTGAGGGATGATGAGGTTAACTTTAGATCATACATCTTAACAAACCTTCCATAGATCCTCCACTATGTTTTGATGTTAACTTCCAAGATCACATTTAAGCAGATCAAACATAAATTTATTAGAGCTACATCATAGGCCATGAAAACAGCTGTTGATTTCTACAAGTAGCAGAAAGCTTGTGAATCTTTGGCTTATAAGACTTCATCAGCTTGAAATCCTTGTTTAGTATTGTTACGTCTCTGTATGTTTGTTTGTTAATTTTTCTATGATACAAGTCCTTTCTTAAATAAAACTTGTTTAGTCTTCCTCAATACAACTTTGCAATACACTTAATTTTCTACATATACACACACTATAGTTCACAACAATTCACTCACTTTCTACCGCGCTTGACTC